GGGGGGGGGAGCTTTAAAGACTGCCGCTTTAAGAAATAAAAATAAAATAAAGCTCCAGACAGCGCTCACCACACTCATAAGAACATACGAGAAGCCAGTGTTGGGTCAGGCCAGTGGCCCCTCCAGGCCAACACTCTGTCTGTCACCCAGGGGCCAGGGACACCGCGGGGCCATCAGGAGGTCCACCAGTGGGGCCAGGACATTAGAAGCCCTCCCACTGTTGACCCCCCCCCCCAAGCACCAAGAAGACAGAGCATCCCTTGCCCCGGAGTCCCTGTCTCTGCCTTGTGGCTAATAGCCACTGATGGACCTCTGCTCCATAGGCTTATCTAATTCCCTTTTGAAGCCGTCCGTGCTTGTAGCCGCCGCCACTTCCTGTGGCAGTGAATTCCATGTGTTAGTCACTCTTTGGGTGAAGAAGTACTTCCTTCTATCCGTTCTAACCCGACCGCTCTGCAGTTTCATGGAGTGCCCACGAGGAGTTCTTGTCTTGTGAGAAAGGGAGAAAAGGGCCTCTTTCTCAGCCCGCCCCGTCCCACGCACCATCTTCTAAGTCACCAGCCACGTGTTTGTTTATTTAAGGCGCGAGCCTCCTGGTTGCTGTGGCGCTGAGGCCGCGATCCTAAGAATGCTTACCCGAGAGGAAACCCAACCGAATAGAATGGAAATTACTTGTGCGTAAACTTGCCTAAGGCGGCACACGAAGGCGGCCGGGAAGGGAAGGGAAGGGAAGGCCACCCGTTCCCCGAGGACCTCGGCCACCCCGGCGCCCCGCCCGGGACCAGCTTCCCCACTTGCCTCGACCGAGGAGAAAAGGCCGGGTGGAAAAGACGCACTTCCGCCGCCGCCGCCGGGCAACGAAACGAGAACCGCCTTCTCCGCTGCCGCGTCCCGGCGAAAAAAAAAGCCAAAACCCCGCCCCCCGCACGCGAGCCCCTCCCCCCGGACAGGAGGGGGCCTGCGCCTGCCTGCCTGGCGCAACAAACGGCACCAGAAAGGGAGGGAGGGAGGGAGGGCGGGCGGGGGTTCTCTCCCACCTGAGACTGCTCGGGGGGTGGGCGGGCTCCAGTTCTGAATCCTGGTTTGTATAAAGAAATGAGAAAACTGGCACAGTAAGAAGAAAGGCTCAGTCTCCTCTTCCTTTGCTTGCTATACCGCCTTTCCCTGCACAGTTTTAGTGGCACCATGCATTTTACTGACTCATTCTGCAGACTGGCCTAAAGAGGTGTGCTTGGCAGAAGCAGCTGGAGCAGAGGTTCATCAGTGGCTATGAGCCACCAGTCTGGGGCAAGGGATGCTCTGTCTTCTTGGTGCTGGGGGGGGGGGGCAACAGTGGGAGGGCTTCTAGTGTCCTGGCCCCACCGCTGTACCTCCGGAGGGCACCTGGTATTTTTGGCCACTGTGTGACACAGGGTGTTGGACTAGATGGGTCCAATGTTCCCTCTAAGCTGTGGGGTCTTGTGAGCAAAAATTCTACTTTGTGAGCTACTGGCAATTAAAGTTGTGAGCGAGTGATTTGGCTGCTGCATAAATTAGTTTGCTCTGGAGCCCCATCCCTTCCTGAGCTAAGACAAAAATGTGTGAGCCGAAGGCTAAAAAACTGTGAGCTGGCTCACACTAACTCAGCTTAGAGGGAACACTGGATGGGTCATTGGCCTGATCCAATATTGGCTTCTCTTATGTTCTTATAGGAACTCTCAGTCTGGGGCAAGTGATGCTCTGTATTCTTGGTGCTGGGGGGGGGGGTCAACAGTGGGAGGGCTTCTAGTGTCCTGGCCCCACTGCTGGACCTCCTGAGGGTACCTGGTATTTTTGGCCACTGTGTGACAGTGTGTTGGACTAGATGGGCCATTGACCTGATCCAACATGGGCTTCTCTTATTGACCTGATCCAACATGGGCTTCTCAAAGCTTACACTTTGAATAAAATTGTTAGGCTTAAACGTGCTACTGGACTCAAACTTTGTTCTACTGCTTCAGACCAACACAGCTATCCACCTGAATTTTTCTTCATTCTGCAAATGTGGGATGCTGTATTTATAATAAACTTCTTGTGATGGAAGTATGACATTTTTCCCTGCCTTTTTCAATTTCATGATGGTGGAAAGTACTGACTTTCCCCAGGTCTCGTCCAATCGACGTTCATAATTTATTTACACCTTTATATTTTACTAGCAAATTCAGCAAAATTTCCGACTGGATCACTTATCTGTGCATGAAGCCTTGATAGCTACAAGCAGATAAAACAGCACCAGTTATCCTTTATCCACCTCCATGCAAAGTGAGATTAGTAAACACTAGTGTACCATACTGGCCACTGACTATACTTATAAAAATCCTCCAAGCCAGAATAATGTAACCTGCAGGTATGCTCATTTTAGCCGTACCTGCTCATTTATTGTTGTTAAAAAGAAAGGGGGGGATTATCATCTTCCTACAAATTAAAAGTTTCTGAATTTTATTCAGAATTCTGGTTATCTGAAGGGACTGAGACTAGAGCAAACAGTATTTGAAGAAGAGAGCGGTGACTCACACAAAAGCTCATCCCCTGCCACAAATTTTGTTAGGCTTTAAGGTCCTACTAGACTCTTGCTCTTTTCTATTGTTACAGACTAACATGGCCACGGTAGAGTGGATAATGTTAAGGACAAAAGCCTTGGGAGAGCTGGATTCAAATTCCTGGTTCATCCATAAAGCTCACCTGGTCAGCTGAGGTCTCTCTGACTCTAAATACCTGAAACAGCCTGTGAGAGAAGCAACTAGTGTGTACCATGAGCATGGTGTAGCACCCTGAGCTTCTTAAGAGGCAAGACACAAAACTAGTGTCATTCATCAGACCCAGCAGGCCATAGTTAATTATGGCAAGCCATGTCGCTAGCACACGAATGGAGATGAACTAGGGGTGAACTGGTTTATAGTTCAGGCCCATCAGGCCCGTTTACTGAATCCTCCCAGACATGCAGTGCTTTACAGTAAACGTTTTCTTCCTGATGTAGAAACCCAGGTGGCTGCCACAGAAGGACAAAGGGTAGCTAACATTTTACTAAAGGCAACGCATAAGTTCTGCTGTATGTACAGCAAGTTCATCTTCTATACTTTTCCTCTACTTCAAGGAAATTCAAAAATCAAAAATTTCCCACTGACTAAAACAGATGACAACGGCTGAAATCTTCTTGAAAGGATACTTAGCGTTGCTCCTTCCTTCCAGACACTGAATTGAAGTCAATACAGTAAGGGTTTATTCAGCAGACAAAACTATGTTCATAAGCCCCAGAAGCATGAAGCCTGCTCTCGAAGGCATGACTTTTTTCAAAAAACAAAGGAATACGACTAATTGGCAAAACTTTTATCTCCCATTCTCCAAGGAATATAGTAGCAATTACAATTCTGTAGAGCTATTTAGGTCCTGGTCACATGGGCCGGAAAATGTGGGGGGGAAGCGTGGCTGTTTGCCCCAGAGCAAAATAACGCGCGGCCGCCCGATCACACGTCCCGTCGAGGTCCCGTGGTTAGGGGGTGAGGTGCCGCTCAGACGGCTATCCTGCAGTGCAGCAAAGAAGTGGCACGGCGCGATCACACCAGCAATCGCTAGGCGCCGCTTCCATGGCAAATGAGTGGGGTTTTTTACCGAAGTTTGTGCGCATGTGCCGTTGGGCGCTTTTGCACGTCCTGCGGAGACTTGGGGGGGGACCCCTTGTTTGCGACGGAACATCGGCGGGCGCCGGATGCCATGGGATTCCACCGGAAATGCGAACAGACGCCTGCCCTTGCCCCGCGGTGTCTGGAAACCAGTACCTCGTAAGTACTAGTTTTTTACTCCGCATCTTCGGCGGGAAGCCACGGGAGCACTACGCTTCCCAGATGTTGTGGTGTGATCGCACCCGGAAAATCCGCCTATCATCCGTATCTTTAGTGCGGCAAATGCTCCGTATGACCGGGGCCTATGTCTATTTCTTTGA